ACTCGTGCCTGATTGTTTCCAGAGTTTAAGAAGTTCCTGCATAGGAAGTCCAACTCCATGTACAACTTTGAGCAGCCTGTTGTCATGAAGGTTGGTAGAAACGCTTCGAAACTCTTCCCCCAGTCTTTCCTACCAAACCCCCACACCAGGCAGAAAGTGGACATTTCCTGAACACCGATACAATCTGTTTGCTGACTGACTTTAGGCGTTCGAGCACCTGCAGCAGCTGGAGCTGATCCAGTCTGTCGATGGTTCCTCGGCCAAAGTCCAGAGGGAGTACCAGCTCATGAGGCTCACGCTGGACCACAGCCAGATCATGGATGCCCTGCAGAAGTACCCACAGTGCCCCACTGACGTCAAGCAGTGGGCCATGTCGGCATTTGGGTAGAGCTTCAGAACATTTAGAATTCAGTCTGTGAAGCTTGTTTTGACTTGGACTGAAGAGCATAAGGTTTGCGCTGCCGCCCACTCTAAACGATCAGAAAATAAAAGGAAATGAATAGTTTGGCATTGGTGCGATTGTTTCACCCTCTAAGCAGTTAGAGGTTTATGCTGAAGATAGACCCCCCCCAATCTTAATACAAAAACTCAGCTTCATGTGCTTGTGTCATTTGATCAGTAGTTGGACTTAGCAAGTGTCATCAAGCGTCCAGCTTTCATCATTTTCAGGTCGTGAGCATCAGGCTGCTGAATACTGCTATCTAGTGGTGATTTTGTGCAGTTGACAATAACCTGGATGAAAGTTGCAGTTTTGATTTCTTGGACAAAAATCTGTGTAATTGTGCCAAAAGTCTGTTTTTTGTTGTTGTTGTTTCTTTTTAAACACGCTGTAGCATCAGTGAGGCATGTGTCCCTCCACAGTTCACAAGAATCGCTGCTCCCACGATGGTTTTACAGTTTATGCACAATGAGCAGCTGATTGGTCTGTATGGCCGTGAGCTGAATGAAGATTCACCTTAGTGGCAATAAAAAGAACTCATTTAATTAGGTGTCCTCTTGGCAGATATTTTGTGTTTCTAGGCTTCAAAAGCCTCATTGCTGCTCTTTTAGAATCAAGTTTCAAAGGTACATTGTTGCATAAATCCAGCTTTATAAACATGAAGTTGTTTTTTTTTTTACTAATTTTAACTGTTTAAATGGTATGCTATGTATTTGTGGCTACAGTTTTAAAGATTTTATTCAGTGTGCAATTCCATGCTGTACTGTAAATATAAGCCTATAATCCAAATATAAGCCTCATGTTTCCAACAGGGAACCCAGCCCCCCACCCTCAATTTAATTGCCTTTTCTTAAACATGGAGCACTGAGCATTTAAGCAAGGCTTGTAACTGAGTGAAGGGACCTGTGAGTATCAGCCTTAAGAAGAGCCAATCTAATTCTCTGAATGAGAGGAAAGGAGGTGACTGTGCTCCATAGTTCAGAGCCATGACACAGGCACAGCCCATACCTTTATGAACACAGTGTACCCGTCTTCTGATGGCTGATTCCAGCAGGATAGCACACCATGTCACAAAAGCTCAGATCATCTCAAACTGGTTTTATGAACATAATGACTTCACTGTGCTCAAATGGCCTCCACAGTCACCATATCTCAGTCCAATAGAGCAGATTTGAGATGTGGTGGAACAGGAGATTCTCATCTGCAGTAACTGTGATGCTAACAAAGAATTAAGACAAAAGTACTTAATCTAGTACTAGCAAGGTGTACCTATTAAAGATAACTGGTTATCTTTAATAGGTACACCTAATTGCATTGGTTAGGGTTTACCTCTTAAAATCTGATGTATCAAAATTTATTTTATGACTTTCCTTTATTAAAAAGTCCCTAAATATGAAAACCAAACTGTTTCCAGGAGAACGCCAAGCCTCTAAAAAGAGTTAACTCCAGACTGCAGTGATTCAGAGAGGGGGGGAAAAAAGGAAAGAAAAGACATTCACAATCTAAAAACACATTTATTTACATCACGTGGATCACTTCAGCTGATAAAAACCATGGCCGGCTAACATTAGCCGAGAGTCGCAGCGCTAATCAGGGATCAGTCCTGCCTCCTCTGCCATAATGTACACAGGGTTCATGAAGTTTGTTTCCTCTGCTGTAACACTTTTTCAAGAGATTTTCCTCTCTTCTGTGAGAGGTCAGGATGAGGACATCCTTGAAGCTGGTAAAGACTCATTCCTACTCAGGAAAACCCAGTGGGCTGTTTCTTTTTTTGTTTGTTTGATGTACTTCACTTTCCAGTTTGAAATTGCAGACCTTAGTTTCTTTCTTGTTTTCACATTTTTTTCTCAGTAACATAAAATTTACAGTCACATGTATCAGGAGCAAAGAAAAAAAGACATTTTCATCACTGAAGAGAGGATTTTTTTTTTTCTTTTTAAAACATGACACACTGAAGTTTCATGTTCAGACTGATCAGTTTCTCCCAGCTTTAAACAACCTGTGAGCATCATTGGCATTGGAGACAGTGTTGGCAGACCCGGGATAAGCGCTGCAACTCGACAGCCTCGAGAAATGTGGGGTCAAAGTAGTGTTTTTGTTTTTTTTTGTTTTGTTATTTTTTTGATTTGTTTTGTGGGGTTTTTTTTGTAGAAATTTCAGGCCTGGTAACCAGACTTCTCTTACTGCCAAGACAGTCTTAGCGGTGGGGGTCAATGGAGTTCAATGTTTCCTCTAAAACTCTTTACCACCAGCAGGAAAAAGGAGGAGACTGGGAAGTTAGAATGAAATAACCTGTAGTGGATGATTGTAGTAGCACGTATGGGAATATTGCAACAGCTCCTAAAGAGCTTGGAGGGCTTTTTAAAATGTAACCATCAGGGGATCCAAGCAGGCTCCCAGAGGAACACCTTTGGCTGAACCATCACAATTCGTTTTCTTTCTGCCTTACAAAGTACTCCAATGAGCCTCCAGCTTAGTGAAGGGAAACTTTTACAGGCCTGGGTGCTGAGTCAAAACACAAGAAAAGTATAAATGAATGTAGAGGAAACACTGAAGTTCAACACGCACTTATAAAGATTCAGCTCAGAGTATATAGTTGATACAGGTATTTATGTCTGTACAGATCCTAGACTGCTTAAAATAGTGGGGGCAACAAGACACAAATGTTTCACTGTTTATATGCACAGCAATGTGAGGTGCTGGGCTGGAGGAAGTCAAGGTAGAAACATGTAAAGCTTCAACATGCGCAGGACCCATCCATACACCTTTAAATATCCAAAAGATCCATCCTTTTCACTCCTCTCAGGTCGCCAAGTCAACTGCTCCTCATCAGGATAAGGCTGAAGTTGAAGATAAATTCTACAAATCAGGAGGGTCGAATATGACTGGACTATTTTCCAAAGCTGGTCACCTCAGCTTTTGAGGTGACCAGCTATCTTGCAAACACTGATATCAACACTGCCTCGCTACTCGCTGCACTATCCTCCTGAACGAAAGACACAATCTCCACAACAGTGCCAGAGATCAAAACAGGAAACTCAGAAAGTGTAATTTAATCTGGTAGCTCCTGCACTAGCTGAAAAGGTGACAAAACCCCTGATGCTATTAGCTAAAAAAAACACCAAAGTGTGGCCAGTGGATATGACAGCACTTTTAGTGTTCACCAACATTTGCAAGGGCAAGAACATTGGGTACAACAGGCCCTGCAGGCTGTCAGTTGTCGTTGCCATCTAGAAAGCTGTGCAACCTCTTTTGTGAACATTTACCAATCAAGAGGATTCTCATGAGCATTTGTCGGGGGTGGGGTGGGGTGTACCTCTGCTGGCATCTTCATTACAGAGACAACATCCAATCAATTACTTTTTTCACTGACTTGATTAACTGGTGCTTCCAAAGTTGAATCACTCTAGCAGGATCCATTTCACTACCCATTGCTGAGAAACTGGGTGACTGGGTTCAGTTGGGGGTGCTCACAAGACCACTGACACTGAATAATAATTCTTTAAAGCTTCTTCTAGACAAAAAGTTAATAAAAAAAAAAAAAAAATTCTACCTTTTCCCCCTACAATGAAGCTAATTTTCCCAATAAAGGAGATCCCAGAAGAAGCTGCAAGTTTAAAGAAAAATATACATCTACTACATCAAATGTCTCAAATGCTTTCCAAAAATTTCCAGAGGAAAAACTTTACCTCACAAAATTTAAATATTTGAGCTATAGATCCATAGGGCCATGTTCATTCTGGACTATTTTAGAAGCGCCACCTATTAAAATGAGATGTTCCGAATTCTTGCGTATTTAGAAGCTCTTTTGGTGAAGTTTCCTAACTTTTCAGTGCAAGAAGTTAACGCTACAGATCCTCAAAGTTCAGTTCAGCAATGCATCATGTAGATGCTCCTTTGGTGGAGTCAGAACAGACATGGTTCCTGAGGGGAACCAATGGATGGTAGACGAGATTGTCGTCAATTGCTTTAATTGGGTACTTGATCAGGTGAAGACAAACAGAACCAAATATCTGCTTTGTTTTGGAAGTTTAGGTGCTAAAACAATGGTAGGACCAGAGGTTTTTGAGGACCTTTTTTTTCCCCATCGTCCTTTGGATGGTCGGTTTGGTCCTAATGGACCACAGAGCCGGTACAACCGAGAGGTGTATGAATGGATGTCCAAATACGCTGGGCTTTGCAAGTTTCTACGGGACAGGGCACAATCACACGAAACCAGCCAAACGCAAAGCCCTCTAAAGTTACACAGGGCCGGGCTCAATCCATCGAAGTACACACAATACTGGAATCCAGGAGTCTGAAGAACATTCATTCTCGGTCATTTTGTCCATAGACTGAATAGAAAGAAGCATGAGTAAAGTTTATATCTTTTTCTTTTTGAATCAATTAATAAAAGTAGTTCCTGAATTACAACTGAAAACCCACCCCAAACCCTGAAACCCCAACAAAAACCAAAGCTCATGCCAGAACTTTATTCCGAGTTGCACTCGAGCTCCAATCCCCAAAACCTCAGGCCAGTAAATTAAAAAATAAATACAACATATCAATATGCAAGGTCACGGATAAAAAAAAAAAAAAAAATGCTACAAGTTATTTGTGTGTGTGTGTATTGAAATTCACTCCTGCAGCTGATCCTACAGAAGTGTAGGGTAGTTTGCGGCACTGGTTGCATATAACTCGCTAGAACTTAGAAAAGCATAGTACTGAATCCCTGAATGGTATTTGTCGGTTTGGGTCGGTTTCTCTGAGCGCAGTTTAAACTCAAGCCGGAAGTCTTTCCCCTACAGTGCTTAGGATGTGACTGCCAACCAAACAGCAGCGAGTTTCTTTGCTCGTGGCTGATAAGATTTGTCAACCACTTTGGCAGGTAACCAACCAGTTTGGAGGCAGTTTTTGGATATCCACTTGGCTGCTGGAACACTGGTGAGTAGGTTTTGCATTTGAGGACACAAACATGGGAACTAAAAAGAATAATACTGGTGTTTTTCCCTTATGTTGGTGTCATTCAAGGATCCTTTTCGTTCTGCAGTTCAATCTCCCTTTGTGGGACAAGAAAACACATTGTGGTGGAAATGAGGAAGCTTCTTTGTAGCCTTATTCTGTTTCTGTCTGTCAGACCTTCAGGGAACAAATTAAGTTTACCCCTAAACTGAAACCTTTCCCCTAAATCAAGAACATTTAGAATTTTTTTTTTTAGCAACCTGGTTATGATTTTAATTTATTTGCCATAGTTTCTATACTGAAGAAATCCCTGCAAGTGAGGTAGTACTTACTGAAGGGCTGCTGGGGTTTGCAGTACTGATCGTCCCCGACTGTTCAAGCTTTGCGAGGACCTCGGACAACGGGTGCTTTTGAACAGCAGTGGAGCAGCATAAGGAAGCGACACTGATGCAAAAAATTGTACTCATGCTACAATATGTAAATAAGATGATGGCTTCAACTTCCTTCAGGTTTGCGGTGTTGTTGCAATATGGTGTGCGGAAATAACCTCAAACTTATGCTGCCAAATTTGCTTAAATAACTTTTACAGTTCAACTATGAAGATCCTTTTTTTTGGAATCTTCTAGATTTAGGTGGGATAACTAAACAATTTGGCCCTGATTGGTACAAATGTTGGCACACATCTCCATTCTCCAAACATTTAGCTTCATTACAGACTTTTTTGTGCAAAATGAACGGTTTTGCTCAACTGATCACTTATCAATTTAATGTCTTAGTGTTTTACTTGTATACTTACTGGCTCTTGCTCACCAAAACGTCATAATACAGTGCTGTAAAGAAAGCCTCACTGTCTTGAATGTGAATGGTTTGGATAGAAAGAAGTTTCTTCATGCCCCTCCCCAAGTATTTTCTAACTGCACACAGAGCTTTATTTTAAACTGTGATATGTGAAACCGTCCCAAAGCTTGAGGAGAGACTGCAGGTCTGCCGGCACCAGTGTTCAATATCCCTCAGAGGAAATAAAGACTCAAAAACGTCATTTGTCGCCTTCGCAACAACGACAGATACATCCGTTTTGCCTGACATCTACAAGATTAACTAATATCGACATGTAGAAATGGCACCAGGATGAAAGACAGAAAGGAGAGATCCCCTCGTCTCCACTCATTTAACCATGGTTAGCTGTGTGAGTGTGCCGGTTGGGTCGGCAAGGGTTTCAAACTGTCAAGCTAAGTGGTTTTAGGGGTTTCTAAAAACTTTTACTTTGAAGGGGAACATTATTGGTTTCTAGTACGTCTCAGAGGTTAAATAATGAGTGTTTGCAGATAAGTCGGCGTCTTCTCTGCAAGCTATAGGTAACCAAAGAAATCACAAGGAGGGTTTTGGTTGTCATGGGTTCACCAACTGGTTTCTAGGCCTGTGTTACCAAGGCCCTAGGGAAATAACCCTCAAATTCCAACGGCAGTGGGCCAAGCTTAAGAGAAAGCATCAAAACAAATTAATTAAGTCTAAACTGGAACAGTGCAGAATGAAGGTGGTTAAAACATAGACCAGATTTTTGGTTCTACAGATACATTAGGTCAGGTTGACTGTGTTGGTTGGGGAGGTTGATATTTTTTCCTGTTTTTAGTAATATCTCTCTTCATTTTTGTGGGAATTAATTCAGTGTTCTGCATCCTTGATAATTCAAGTTTCCTTTTTTTGTAATGAGATCAGTATGACTAATGAATGCTGTGGGGATCTGGCATTAAATGACTGGTGGAACTTTGTCAGAAAAAGTGGATAGTCCTAATATAATAATATAATATCTCTATCATGTGACGGTTTCTTTCAGAAGATGAGATGAATAAGGATTATTTTGAACTGTGATTCATGCTTGGCTACTTAAAAAGAATGGGGAGCAGATTATGTCCACCTTTTAGTTATCGACCAACCTTACCTAATACAGTTTTCTTCAAACCGACTAAAGACACTGAACTATTACCGCACGGCTAAACCCTAACAAGTGGAGACGAGGCAAGAAAGAGACATAGGAGGTGCAAGATTCGGCGAAAGAGGAGGTACTCCAGTTCGAGACAGATGAGGATGTGAGGGCGTGGTGTTGAGTAGCAAAGATTCCTGAGGTGTATCCAAAGAGAGCAGAAACTCTTAATTAAAAAAAATAAAATAAAATAAAAATAAAAAGATGCGTGCAATCAAATCAAAAGCAAGCTGGCTCAGCTAAATACAGGCACAGTTCCAAAGTAGGGCTGGGTACCTCTGGAAACTGTACTTCAAATTTGATACCTCCTAAAAAAAATCATGCCAGGTGACCTCTTGTTTTTTTTTGTTAATCTGATTTTTCTAAATAGAATCAAACAACACATAATTTATTTCACCATGAATGAACAAGAATATGACCCGAGAGTTTGATATCTCTGATTAAATATCCAAAAAAAGAAAAAGAGAAGGTATCATTACAGCTGGCACCCAGCGCTAATCCAGAGAGAGATCCCGTGACTCCAATTCAAGCTAGTCAGCAATGGGTATTTACTCTCTGCTGACGGCTGACACGGCAAACAAGAAAAAAAAGAAGAAGAAAACTTTAAACGACAACTTCATTATCATGGGTGTGGGCAGGGTGTGTGTGTGTGTGTGGGGGGGGTTCATGAGTTTATCCCGCTCTCATGAACATCTGATAGAAGCAAAAGAAAAAAAAAAAGAAGAAAAAAAAACCAACAGGAGAAAGTTGAAGTAGACACTGAGAGAAAGGAAGGGGACGAAGAAGGGAAAAAGTTGTGTTGTTTTTTTTTACGGTTTGTATGGCCGTGTGTGTCTGTGTGTGTCTAGGCTTTGTTGATTGACGAAGGGCCAAAAGGTTGTAAAGGAAGTGCGAGCGATGACCATGAACAGGGAGAGAGGGACTGATTTTTTTTAAAACTGTCCATCTGAACTGAGGTATACCTGGTTGAAGGAGGTTTATGGTTTTTATCGTCGTAATGCTTGAAAATGGACCCCCCTCCCCATTCCCCCCCCCGTTTAAAATAAGCTTGATTACCAAGTTGTCTGGGTCCATAATACACTATGTACAGCAGCATTACACTATAAACATTCAGAAGCCGTTGCTTATTGGCAGAACGATAGTCTCCCAAAAAAACAAAAGAAAAAGAAAAAGAAAAAAAACACACGAGAAAACAGCAAATGTATCAAGAGCCGGACGCTCGTCTTTTCTTTTTTTTTCTTCTTTTGTTGTTTTTTAACACTAAAATGCACCGAGAGTTTTGTGAAATTTCTCCGAAGAATCTTCTCAGAGCAGAACACGTCGCCCTCCTACATCTGTGTGTGTGTCTGTGTGCGTGCGTGCGTTTGCATGTATATGTGTATATAAAAACAATACATGATCAAAGTGTCCGTAGAGTGTTGTCCCAGCATGTCAGTGCTGTGGCTTGGTAAAACATCCTGAGTGAGTCCGCTCAGGATGGCAGAGAGTTCAACGTTAAAATCCTCAAGCACGCCTATCAAAATGAGGTGGATGCCAACTGATGTGGTGAGGCGGGCGCAAGGGGCGTTTCCTGAATGCGAGCAGCGGCCCGCACTTAAAAGAACAGGAAGGAAAAAAAAAAAAATCAAAGGAGAAGAAGAAGAAGAAAACCCCCCCCACAAAGCCAACCAACCAGGGTTGGCCATTTATCCCCTCGTGTTGATCTGTGTTTTCGCTAGAGCTCGTCTGGCGTCGGCTGATTGGCTGATCATAAGCTGGACTCCTTGGGTGGGAGGTCCACGTTTGTCACCATGGTGACAACCGTGACGATCTCCTCGGGGCCGATGACGGGCGCCTGGCGCTGCATCTGTCCGATGCGCTCTTCGACGCAGCCGGCGGACAGGCGTGCCTCGGCCTCGTGGTCCCAGCAGTCCTCGATGGTTTCGCAAAGCATGGCCAGACCCTGCGGAACAAAGTTCAGACGAATGTTATCCAAACAGCACCACGATATGTCAGCTGGTTGTGGTTTCTGGAGTTTGAGCATGGACACACTGGAAGCGCTCTGCAGTGGCACAAAGTGGGCGGGACCTATTTATAAACTTTCAGGCAAGTGACTGAAGAGACTATCCAATGAAAGTTCATAATACTTTGTGTTGTTCTTACTCACTGTCATTTTGTCCTGTGTTATATGTTGTTTGATTATTTCAGGTGTACATCAGCTGTTCTTTTTAAATGTGCTATAGAGGGAACCATTTTAAATCATGCTGCATAAATCAAAGAGCTATGGGACAGTTTCAACCAACACTCCTCTAATTTCTCACCGTGTGTTTCTGCCAGCAGTCTCGCAGGCAGGGCCGCAGTTTCTTATGCACCACCACCTCCTGCATGTCCTCCAGAGATGGGTGCTGACCCACCTCCTCCTCAAAGGGGAGCATGTACTCATCTACTGGTCCTGGAAACATGTGCACGTGTCCAAAGTTAAAATTCGGACGGAATAAAAATAAGACAGTGTGGATAAAACCTGACTGGAGTGCTTGTGGATTTACCGTCGGCAGCGGTGCACCGTGATGCCAGCTCCCACAGGACGAGGCCAAAGGCGTACATATCGATGCGCAAAAATGAATCACGCTGGAAGTTGATTGCGCCCTCCAGGACTTCGGGAGCCATGTAACGTCGTGTTCCCACCTACAGGTTCCAAGCAGGAGTCCAAAGATCAGCACTGAGATGAATAGCTACATGACCACCAATTAAAGCAGACCCAGCAAAAACACTGCCAAATAAATGTGTTTTCACTGCTTTACTGTGATTGTCCAACTTTCAAAAATTGAAAACCTCATCATTCAAATGAATCCCTCCAGGGCTGCTTCAAAAATTTCTGGCCTATGCTGCCACCCAAAGGAGTCTACAACTACTGTCTCAAAGCACGAATAATACGTCTCTCTCTAAAATGGATGTTGGTGATTACAGCGAAATGAACAAATAGCTTAAAAAAAAGAGAGAAAAAGATCAGGTCTCAGATCTAAATACTCAGTTTTCCGTTATTTTTGTCCCCCCCCCCATTTTCCCCTTAAGACAGGGTCCAGTATGAGATAAAGAAGGGTTATTTTGAACTATAAATCACGCTAAGCTAAGATAAACTACTGACTATTGCAGTTTCAGGAGGAATTGAAGTTGTACTGAATTGAAAATTCTAGAACATAATTTAACATCAACGAAAAGACGTAATTATACATTAACAGGAAGATTCTGGAAAGTCACTGACTATTAATAGAAAGCTTCTAAAATATATTGGAAAGATTTTAGAATTTAACTGCATTGATGGAAATGTTCTAGAATGTCACTGTACACTGACAGAATCTGACTGTACTTTGATGGGAGGATCTAAATTGTCATACATTAATGGACGTATGTCCTTTTACAATAAGGGAAAGATTCTAGACTGTAATTATTGATACTGTATAGATGATTTTTTTGTGTTATTCAACTTGTCATTTAAGATTGTTGTGCTGTGCAGTGCAAAACATTTGAAGACTAAAATATTATAATAATGATAAACCAAATTTTCAGACAACATAAACTGACATTGGTTGCTTAACATCAATGCACAAATAAGCTGGAAACAGATGTAACTGGGTACTGCCCGTGAACATGCCTTCAAACACAGTGAAATGGTGGATGAGAGACAACTATATGAAGTTTTAAGTGTGAGCTATACCTGTCCGTGTGTGTCTCCTGCTGATTTTCCTGCCTCAAACTTCAGAGCGAGGCCAAAGTCAGCTATGCAGGCTGTCAGGTTATTCTTCAACAACACATTCTTACTTTTAATGTCCCTGAAAGAACGCACGACACAGGAAATATCCCTTTAGCCCAGTCAAACTAATACAGGAGTCTTGATAATCCACAGATGTTTATGTTTAAGGCAGTGTACCTGTGAGCGATGGAGGGCTTGTGCCCGTCCTTGTGTCCTGGGATATCTTCGTGGAGGTAGGCGAGACCGCGGGCTGCTGACTGAGCGATGTGGCAGAGCTCGTTCCAGGACACCACGTTGGCCTTCAGGTAGTCTGTCAATGAGCCCTAGTGAATGAGACAGACAGAGAAGATGGGTGTCAGCGGGAAGAAAAAACAGAAACACTAACTTTACATTCAAAAATGGGCATGTAGGAAAAGGGGCCCCAAAATGTGCCCTTTGCCTGTCGCCCAGTCCACACTGCACGTGTCCCTAATTTCTGTTGTTGTTGATAAGCTGTACCTGTCCAGACCCCATGATTCCAGGCCTGGCTGCCAGACGTCCCCATTTCTGTTCTAGCTTAATGCCAGTTTCAGGTGAGGTTATCCAGTGCCAAATATTCTGTTTCAATGGAGTTTCTCAAAGCAAGACCCCTCCCCTGAGATGACCCTACCAGGAGTTACTTGGCATCTTCAAGTCAGAGGCAAAACTCCCCTTTGGGTTGGGGGAGAGACGGTGCTGCAAGAGAGCGAATTCACAAGATCTTATTCACGTGTGATGGAAGGGCCGGAGGATGATGGAGGACAAAGCAGATCACTAACTTGTGTTTAACTGTTACAGAAGTTTTAATGTTTATCAGCTGAAATCTAGAAATGTGTGATGTTATAAATATATTCAAGAGTCAGAGTGATGGAATGAAAAGATTCATTAATAGTACATTAAAAGCTGAGCTGCATCAGAGCATGCAGTATTCTCAGTGTGGTAATGGTAATATCTCTAATGGATGGAAATTCACCAAAGCTTTTCTATTTTTTTATTTTGCAGCTGACTCCACAAGATAAAACAATTATACTGGATGTACAAGTTTCAATATTGACATTTTTTAGATGATTATCGAAGAAGAAAGAACTTCTGGAGCTCAATAAATCCCCTAGAGTGCAATAAATGACATTTACGACCTACAAGGCGTCCTCTTAAAACCACAGCGGATGCTTATTGTCCTCTCTGAATAACGGAGCTCTGATAACGCTGATTCAATGACCTCCTCCATGTGATCACTTATCCTTTGTCTACTCATGAAGAGCAGCATGTGCCTTACTCTTAAGTATTAGAGCGAAAAAGTAGAAATGCTACTGTAGATCTGGAGATTTGAGCATTACAAGGGAAAATTCATGCTTACATCTAATTTACTAATTTGTCTTCTGTCCTGTTAATGCTCATATTTTATATTTACTCATATTTCTGTGCTACTGCTGTTTCCCTCACACCTTTATTGACCATTTTTTATCATAATGAGAGTTAATAATGTAGAATAAAAAGTATAAAATATATTTGTTAATCTGTACTCCTGTTAGTGTTTTTCTTTAAATGTCATCTATAATGCACAATGACAATAAAGGTCTTGAATTTTGAATGTCAACACAACACAAGGTCACCAGTGGAGGCCAAAGGCAAATGTAGTTGTGTTGAGTGACCACTAGAGGGCATGCAACTCCAACACATCATCAGCTGAGCTTCAGATGAAAGCTTTCCACAGTGTGTGTGTGTGTGTGTGTGTGTGTGTGTGTGCATATTCTGCATGACAGCTTTTAATATCCTTGCAGTGGAAATATATGAAAAGATATAAATTACAGGGGGTTTTTTTCTTCGGCAAGCTGCTGCATGTGCACGGCTCCACACCATAAAGCATCAAACATAAATCAGCTGCGACAGACGCCAACACTTCGACACCTGCTCTTTTTAGGTCAAAGCTTAAAGACTTATGCTTGCAGAATAATTACAGTTTCCTCCTTTAAAGCTCCAGTGTTATTCCCTCTAGGAGAGCTTCACTCCACTCCAGAGCTGAGTGCCTTTCCAAGAGTTGTATTGTGAGTGTTAAAGCCTCACCGCCACACCCACAAGCTTTTAATTTTTCAACCTTTATTCACGCGATGAAGGCTCCTTAGGAACGCTGATTCAAATCCTCGGTCTGGCTGGGAAATTTCGGGCAAGCCAAGCGTACAAGAATCACTCTCCACTAGGTTGGTAATGACTCTCAAAACACAGAGGCACTTAGAGCCCCGAATGCTACAAAGGCTGCAGCATGGAGGGTGAGTGGAGCACAAAAGGGGGCTAACACAGCTCAAACCCACTTTCTAGGCACAAAAAAAAAAAAGAAAGGCAACATGAGGCGTATTGTAACTATAGATTAGATCTTAAGGCACCAAACAGAATCAATAAAATGTGAAGGTTTCATGCATGTTTCCCCTCTTTACCAGTGTTTACAACTTTGTTAGATGGTCGCCCTGGAGCTTTTTAGATCTGTGTGCAACTGCCCCCCCCAACAAAAAACCCCCAGCAAACAACTCAATAACATACACTAAGCTCAGCAATATGCTGAGCTTACATGGACACAAACAACCCAGTTAGTGGGAGAAATCAGGCGGAAATCAGAGAATTGTTTTACATGTACACTGTGACTGGAAAACAGATCTGAAGCGCTCCAGTTGGATGTGTTTTAAACAACACTTGCAACGGTTTCTAACCTTTTCTTCAGCTGTGGAAACTTGAGCCCAAGTTTATAGAGTTTTAACTCTTTTACTGAGATGTATACCGGCTTTGATCTCTCGATCTTACAGCTATCTTTTTAAAGGTTTGAGTGGCTGTGCCAGGTTTAAATGCAGGTGTATATCATAAATTTGATATGGATACATATGGATAAATGCTCAGTAAACATGGACTCTTATCAGGACTTGTTGACACAGTTCAAAATGGAACTAAAATAAGGTAACTATACTTTATGGAAGCGCATTTCTGCCACTGAAGAAAATTTATTTGGCAACACGTCAAAATTTATAGTTACATAAAAAAAAATTGTAACTCAAAAATTTGGGTTAGCATCTCAAAAGTTGAACTATATATTTGGGTTATTTATCTCAGAATTACAACTTGACAACTCAAGATTATGGGTTAGCACATTGAGATTCAACGCAGTAACTAAAAAACTGATCAAAGTTTAGATGCAACTCCAATGTTGAATATCTCAAAAGTTCAACTTAACTCAAAATAAAGGTTCAAAAAATCTTGAAATTATGATTTAACTCAAAAATGTGGGTTCGTTTGCTCCACAAAGCAAAAGCAAAACAATAAAATGTGATAAGAATTTTAACAGTTAGACTAAGATAGAGCCAAAAACAGCACAGAGGGATCAAGAAGCTCTGTAAATCAAATAATTACGACTGACTAATGCAAACTTAAAAAGACTTTTTAAAATATAAATAGATGACTTATAAAAACAGTCACCCTGTTTTTTAATTTAGGACAACTGGCTATAGAGACAAAAACTGCTTTGTGGTCGCCAACGTGCTTATATCAGCTATAAATTTTGACATTTTAACATGGCGATCTATGGGTACTGACTCACTTATGTAGTCACCCTCTACTGGCCACTAGAGAAACTGCAGTCTTTAAACCCAAAGGCTGCCCCCGTGAGCATGCCTGCTACTTAACATAAGCAACAGCCTGTTTATTTTAATGAACTAAAGCAGTGATTGCACTTAAGATACCCCAGAAAAAGCAAAATTAAACACGTTTTTGTTTTTCTTTTGTTTGTCTTATTCGCTCCTCTTTATCTGATGGTCTTAAATCAAGCTGGACTCATAAAGCAATTTTTAGACCTAAATGACGTATCGATGTAAAAACATCCTGAAACTGGTTTGAAATAGATCCACAGTGTAGTAGACAAAAGCCTGGCATACAAAGCAGACTGAAGGTTCAGCATGAAGCTCAGGTCATCGAGCCTGGAGGTCTGAGACGTCCCCAAAGTGCGAGAGATTTGATGAAGCAATGAGAAAATATACAACATACTGTATAGAGGAATGAATGCATTAGAAATACAGTCCGGTCTCCTATAGTGTACTCTGCTTTAGTGCACTCAGATTGAAAATGACTCAGTAAAGAAAAGAATATGCATCTCTGCAGCCCTCTCGGCGTACCTTGTCGTGGTAGGCGGTGATGAGCCACAGCTCCAGGTCCAGGTTGTTGTTCCTCTTCTCCGCACCGATAAAGTGGAGGATGTTTTCGTGCTTCATGCCGCTCACGCTGTAGATCTCGTACTCGTTCTGCCAAGACAGCTTGTCCTAGACACGAGCACAGAGGGAGAGATGCAGATGTTATTCATGCCGCCGTGCCACCCAATCGACAAAAACACGTACAAGCCAGGTCACGACTAGTGTTAGAAAGTTTGGGAGATGCAGACTGTTTTTAGTCTATTCTTTGTTTTACATGCTGCTTTATTATTACTCATTATTAAAACAGCCGAGAAGCTCTAATTCATCTCATAACAGAGACACTTGGCACCCAAATAATTCCAATAATATTACTCAAATATAAAACACATTTTTGCTTATCAAAAGGTCAGAAATAACAAAAAAGGGGATGAGTTATAAAGTTTCCACTAGAAAAGCTGTCAGACTTGTTGGCTACAAGTTTAATTAGCTGTTTTTCATTTATTCCCCGCTTCCAGCATGAAAATAATGGATACACTAGCCCAATTTAAAAAAAAAAAAAAAAAGCTTATCAGAAGAATTTTCCTGTAACCAAACTAGATTTTACCCAGAAAATTAAACACATACAGCCAGAGTTGGTACAGTTTCTATTCCTTTCTATTTCATTTTAGTTTCAGTTACTTCCCAGAGTGGATTTGCTTGTTTTAGTTTAGTTTTTATTAGTTAAAGTTCCTCTAACAGCCACTAGAGGCTGGATCTAAAAGATTTCCAGAATTGTTTAAAAAAACGAACAAAAATGGTTTTAGCTGCTTTGGTTAGTTTAGTCCATCAGAAAAACTAGGTGAGGTGGATATTTTAATCACGCACTGCCCGTCTTTGTTTAAATGCCATGAAAAGACATGTCCATAAGTGTCAAATATAAGTCCAGAATCACTCTGGTAAAGAGTAGAATTGGACAGTATTGGAAAACGTGAAAGTGTAATTTCTGGGCTTAAACATACATTCAAAAATTAAATGGATCCTGTTCCTGTTTTGTCGACTATCTACAACAGAAATGTCTTTTCTTTTAAAGGGGTGCAAATGACACAATTTATTTCTTACAATTTAAGAGATGTGCTGAAATATTTATTTCATTAACTACAGCAATATGTCTTTGATGTTCAAAATGTTGGGCACACCTGTTTTAAGACCTTAAATTACTATAAATCCCTTTCTACAGTATTTATTTCACTTCAATCGTATGTATTTATTTCTAATCTGAAAAAAGCGACTAACAGGTGGCTGCCCCTCCCTCTGGCTCTGTCTGTGACTCCTTCCTGTTAAAAAGGAGTTTTTCTTTCCCACTATCGCCAAGTGCTTCATCACAGTCTGATTGTTGGTGTTTTATCTCTGTTATTGTAGGTTTTTTACCTTACAATGTGAAGGGCCTTATTTTTTTTGACTGTTGTTGTGATTTGGTGCTATATGAATAAAACTGAATTGAATAAACTGTCATATATCAAACATGATAACTTTTTGACACATGAAGGCAGCGGTGACAGGCTACAGTCATTAGTGAAGATATGTGGACAGGCATTTGATAAATGATTAATACTCACAATGTGTGTGTTTTTGAATCACCTCCTTTACTTCTTATAGTTGTTGCTTTTTTTTTTATTTAGTTTTGCCTTTATTTGATAAGACAGTGAACATTTTTCCTTTAGTACTTTACTTTGTGGGGGTGTAAGAGTTGTCAGGCTAATGTAACAGTTGTAGTAAAAAAACAAAAAGAAGAAACATCAGCACGTGTACCTGGATGGGAAAGATCTTAACAGCCATGTATTCGTTCAGCAGTTGCGCCTTCCACACACAGCCGAAGCGCCCCCTGGCTTTCACCTCGATCAGCTGCAGAGGTTTGTGTCCCAGAATTGGGGACGGGGGTGAGGGTCCGGGATCCTGCAGAGAGACAGAGACGCAGGTGTTATTCTTTATTCTTTTTATTTATTTATTTATTTCTTGTCCAGAGCATTAAAATAGCACCGGGCTTACATTGAAGGTGACCGGGCTGTTTGGCTCACAGTGACAGCGTGCCTGAGGAGCTAAGGCCAGCAGAATTGCCAACGTCTCCACATCTTAAATCTTACAACTTACATTTATAGACTTCTTCCACAAAGTGGTGCCTCGGTGCTTTATCTACTTTTAAATTTCTGTTGTTTCTAATGGGGGAAAGTCCGCTTCAGGAGAGCTGCACATTTAAGTTTAGCCTCCATATGACCGTGTGGACACGGCATACCGAGCAGGGTTCGGATACATTCATTTTAAATTCAATTAACCCCCCCGGAGGAGTTGCATTTGCTCAAGTTTACAGAAGCGGGTTTGTAACTGGAGGGTTGCCAGTTTAAATCCGAAAAACAGCAGATGAAATGTGTGCGCTGGCGGTGGTTGGAAAAAACAAAACAAAACCTGGAAGATTAACCGCTGAGCAAGGCACACAAAGAAATTGGGCAAGGGTTTAATTATGGATTTAATAAAAACATTTAAGAGCCAAAGGCGGCGGGTCAGACCGCATGCGTGTGCTGTGCGTTCATGCTAATCCCACACAAACAAAAGTGAAAGAGAGTAAAGCCAAGTGTTCCAAATCTAAAGTAGGTTAAACACAGCTGGTGATCGGGATTAAGCTGATCACTTTCACATGTGACTTCACAGAGGAGGACAGAGGGCGAGCAAGGATAGCGAGACCTGGAGAGAGAGAAAGCACGCGAGAGAGGGAGGTGGAGGAGGACGAGGGTGGGGAAGAAGGTTAAAAAGAAGCATGCAGTGCAGGAGTCACATTTCCAAAGGATAAAAGGTAGAGGAGAAAGAGTAGCACATGACTGATGGCGTTTGATGAAACCAGATATGCTGCTGTAAAACCTCGACTTTAGCTGCATGCCTCTGCTGTCAGTAAGAAAAGAAGAAGAAGAAAGAAGAAGAAGGAGCTCTTTTTCCCTTCGCGATGTTCATGTTTTCACTTGAACTGAAGGCTTACAAGGTGCCTGATGAGCTGCAGCAAGTTTCAAGACCCTGAGGCCTGCAGGATCCACTCAGACGCGACGATAATATATCAGGAGTGCACTCGTGTCACTCCGAGTGTTTCGCTAAGCTCACGTAAAAGAAAGAAAGGGTTTCTCTTTTGAGTTTCTGCTGGATTTAACAGATTTAAGAGCGCTGCTCTAACCCACGAGGTTACAGAAGGAAAAGAAAACGTGCATTTCAGGGCACAAATATTACCTCATTTCTGGATTTACCATCCAGGGTTTTTGGCATACGACCTTTCTTAAAGCCAGATCCAAGCCGCACACCAACTGTTAAAAATGAGCCCATGCCAAGGAGCGTTTAACAGCAGGAGCCGTTAAAAAAAAAAAGCGCAGAGGAAGCGGCTACGGCAAGATTACTGCGGTTACAGGAGCAAACTGTGTATCCTCTAGTAACATTTATGAATTCGATTTTTATCAAGATGAAATTGAACTCTGGCCTTTAGTGCACACAAAACAAAGCACTACTGTGTGGCTGAAGAAGCCTTAATGTGCATTTCACTAAATCTCATCATTTTATTACGTTTTGGCAAACACAAGACACTGTTGGAGAGGGTGGGGGTAAATCAACAAAGTTTTTAGAAACACAGCAAAATAACCTCAGCTGCCTCTTTTTCTTGGAGAAGTTGACTTTAAAGCAAACAAAAAGCGGCAGATTGTCTGGTCGGCTCAGAAATATTTTGCATACATCAAACTATTTTTTTAACTACATATAATTAAATCTATGGATGCAGATAAAGAAAGGCTACAAACAAATTCAATTCAATTAAGTTTTGTTCCTTCTGCAGTGCAAGAGGACTTTTATCTAGTGAACACACGCCTACAACGCATCCTTCGTCAGGTCCATACTGAGCTAATCTTGTTTAATTTTGCCTCTGTACACCACCACAGTGGGTTTTAAATCAAACAATCAAGATATGATTCAAGTGCACAGTTCTGGTTTTGATTCATTGCATTTACCTGTTCAGTAAGTACAGCCATTTTTACACACAATTGTATGTGTCTGAAATTATGTTCCGAGCACCTTTATGAAACAAATAAGGTGCTGTCCAGGTTTTCCATCAGGCACATCTATTGCCAGGGACATCGGTTGGCTTTAAACCACATGGCTGTAGGCTAAATCCATTATTGATTTGGCCCAACTTTATGGCTTCCATAGGAATTAAGAGGGGGAGCAGCAGCCAAGCGCTGCTAATCAAATGCACTTCATTAACTGTTTATCAGCAAGTGTGAGCATCTCTATTAAAGCTCAAGTTTTGGTAGATTGCTGGAAGTTACAACAAGTTAACTCCAAGGTGAGAGACCATGCAATGTTCAGGCAACCATAACCCCCCCCCCCCCACGATCTGCATCTCAGACTCTACAGGCATCAGTTAGCATGTTAAATATTAATTCATGACAGTACAATTGGAAAAAGACTGAATGAGTGTGGGTTGCTTGGAAGGGTTACAAGAGAAAGCCTATTCTCTCTAAAAGATCACGGCAGCAGGTTTCTAAACCCCCCATCTGAAAAAGCCCAAGAGTTCTGGAACGATGTCCTTTGGACAGACAAGACCAAAGTGGAGATGTTTGGTCATGATGCACAGCTCCACATCAACACAAATACCTCATACCAGCTGTTAGTACCGTGGTAGAGAGGTGATTTGGATTTGTTTTGCAGTGAATGAGTCGACCATGAACTCCTCTGTATACCAAAGTATCCTAGAGTCAAATGCGAGGCCGTCTATCTGACAGGGTCATGTAACAGGACAATGATCCCAAGCACAGCAGCAAATCTACAACAGAATGGCTGAAAAGGAAAAGAATCAAGGTCCTGCAGTGGTCCAGTCTAAGTCCAGACCGCAACATGATTGAAATGCTGTGGTGGGACCTGAAGAGAGCTGTGCATAAGCAAACCTCCACAAACCTCAATTAACTGAAGCAATGCTGTAAAGAAGAGCGGGCTGGAATTCCTCCACAGTGATGTGAGAGGCTGATAAAGTTACACAGAAAATCATTACTTCAAGTTATTTTTGCTAAACGTGGCTCTACTGAATTCAAGACTCTTTATTTTCAATTATGCAAGCAAAATGAAATCATGGGGTGTACTGCATTTATTACAAGAGTGCAGAGTCTTGTGAAACCTTTCACATGACTGTATATGACTGCTGTGTTATTAGCACCTAACAAGAGCTATTATAGTTTATTTCATTCTAATTAATGCTTTTAAATTTAACGTTTGACTTTTCTTTTAATTAAATTTAGTTTCAGGTAGTTTTCAGAGCGGATCTTCTTTAGTTTTTGTTGCTTGAAAATTTTTGTTTTTTTCTGTTTCAGTGTTAGTTTCAGACTTTTGTGATTTTAATTTCCCAAGCTCACAAAATTGTTTCAAGTTTTGTTCCCTAAAGGTCTAATTTTATTTTTATTTTAGTTAACTTTAGCATTGCATTCACACCTAGTTTTAGTTTACTATAATAACGTTGCACCTCAAACCAAAAATTCCACAGAAACCTCTTAATATCCATCAAACGGATTAAAGTCGAGGTCTGAAAACAGACATTTATGATGGAGACGTGTTGCAGTCATGAGGTCTGTCTCGAGAAGGTGCACGTCAAATGGCCTTTTCTCTAGGACCAAGCTGCTCCCCAGGGATCGTGTTTTCAATTTGCAACATCTAAAAGCGTGTAAGAAAAAAAATAAATGAAATAATTGCTGCTGCTGCTTTTGGTAGATATATAGAGCAGGCTGCCCATTTCTTCTGGGCAGTGCGAGGGGAATGGAGGATTGGAATGGGAACTGGTGTGTTTACTTAAAGCCTTTTCCCTCTAACAGAGAGCTGTGAGGCAGACCTGCTGTCTGCACACTGCTTTCACACCAAATGCCAGCCAAATGACGAGGAAAATTACCCACCACGGTGCAGAGGTTGGATTTCAGAGCGGCCCAAACGCTCTGTAGATGGCAGCTTGAAAACATTTTTAAGAACACATTGTACTGACCAAAATAATCAAAGTATAGTTTCACACAAATGTTTCTATGCATCTGTTTTTGATACTGTTTTTAAATATAGGCATGAACTTTCAATGAGGATCAGATGAACTCAAAACTTCTTTTTTTTTTTTTTAAACAAATCATTTACTTGCCTGGTCCATGACTGGGGAGCACGTACTGTACTCACAGAAAGCTAGCTTCCAGTTTGGCGGCTGAGCCTTACTGATATTATTAACTAAAGTCGAAGGATTTGGCAGGCTGTTATTTCAGACCTTTGTGCATCAATGAACTTGACAACCTCCTGTCCTTTGGCAGGTGGGATAGGTTAAAGAATAACTGGACAGAAATCTGATTTCTCCCAGTCTGGACTTTTAGATCAACCTGCAGCAGCAGCAGGCAGGATAGATGATTGAAAGTGTGGTGTGATGTGCTTCTATAGCATCACATAAGAACCTTTAATTATATGAGTGAAATAATAGAAAATAAGCAGTGTTTTTCTTTTCGTGTACAACAGAAATTGATGGGGACAACTTGTTGTATATAAATGTTTCTGTTCACTTTCTTTGTAAGTTGGACTGTGTATAATCAGACACAGATTCATTACCAACTGTGACGACCTTACTCACAATTATGTACTCTATTCTATGGTTAACTGAACGTCTTTATGTATCTGACGCCTCGGTAACGGGAATTTGTTTATATGAAACCATTCAATTATTGTTGTTAACTGAATTTAACTGAATTTAATGTCTTTCCGCATCTGTCTGTGTTGCTTCCCTCTTAGTCAGGTTTCCTTCTTTAACAACTTAACTGCGCTAATGCGTTGACGCCGTGCAGCCCCACGCACGGCGCCATCCACGTTAACTCGCTAACAGATATTTGCCGCATTAATGCGGTTATGCTGTTAACGTCATTTTGACAAGATTAACGTTGACGGCACTAATAAAAAATATAAAATAAAAAAGACAAGGTGAATTAGTCTATCTTGTTTTGGAAGTATCTGCTGGATGTTTTAATGTATACGCAAGTAAACGTTTCTGTTTAACAGCATCCTCCTTTCTCTAGTGTGTTTTATTAATCTCTGACTCTCTTCCACAGCATGTCTTTTATCCTGTCTTCCTTCTTTCACCCCAACCGACTGCAGCAGATGGCCCCGCCCCTCCCTGAGCCTGATTCTGCTGGAGGTTTCTTCCTGTTAAAAGGGAGTTTTTCCTTCCCACTGTCGCCAAAGCACTTGCTCATAGGGGGTCATATGATTGTTGGGTTTTTCTTTGTATGTATTATTGTAGGGTCTACCTTACAATATAAAGTGTCTGTTACTGTGATTTGGCCCTGTATAAATAAAACTGAATTAAATTATATCTGATTTATGATCCTAACCTATTTAAAGGCTCCTTGAAGGTCATGCCTCAACGTTGACTTTGCAAGTGTATGCAAAGCCCGTGTAAAAAAAATCTCACTATTAAGAGTAAACATTCCCATTCAAGTACATAATCCTAGCTAGAGTGGCTGCTGTAGGCCTGGCCTATTCTGGCTGTCGTTCATCTGTAGTGGCTGTAGGCTGTCAGTCTGCTGTTTACCTCAGCTGTCAATGTGTATTCATATCTATTTACTCTTTAAGAGGCTGTAAAACTTTGTATGTTGTATGTATAACACTTTATACTTTTAATGGTTATGAGAATGCATCAGAAAAATGACTGACTATATATTTAAACTGAGAATTTTTGCCATCTTGGTGTTTTAAAACATTGTGAGACCACTGAGGGGTGAGCCTGACTCAAGAATACCTTGCTTTCATCATCCTTTTTGACTCTAATGGGGACCATAACTTAGAAAATGAGCATTACAAGACTTTAAAGTTTAGATTTTTACCATGACCTAAACAACAAAGAGAAATGGTTCAGCCTTCTTTCTCTTCGTGGTAACTGGTTAATTCCCTTTCTGGTTCAAACCTCCATTCCAACCAATGCCAAGCCATCAGATGTTTGTTGAGTAACTGCATGTATGAAACCACAGCCTCAACACTGGTTTCGCTCTGTGTACAGAGATACCAATGTAAGACTCTGAATCTGCCTTACGACAACCCAACATCTGATGAGGTCCAGAGAAGGTGGGGTGAAGATTATCATTTCTTTCCAGAATCAGGAAAGTAGAACGGGGGCGAAAAAAAGAATAAACAGAATAGCTTAGCAGTAAATATGAGTGGGGACACTTTTCAGTGAAAATAGGTCAACAAACACTTGCTATTGAAGGACTCTTTATGCCAGAAAAGAGGATGAAAGCAGTTTCTAGTACATCCATTAAAAAGGAGTTATTATGCTTATTTTCTTGTTAAATATATCTCGTTCCAGAAGTGGATGCTCATAATAAACATGAAAAGCAAAGTTAAAAATGATGAGGTCAGAGTAAATACAAGTAAGAGTTTGTAATACTCTTTGCTTTATATGATGTCAGGAGGGCACAAAAGCCTGACCTACCTGCTGTTCAAACCTTGTGTTTATATGGAACAGCCAATCAGATGAAAGTTTCTGAAAATGTCTCGTTTCAGAAAGAAGATGAATTGAGGGGCTGAATTAAGGGTTACTTTCAACTTGGAATCACACAAAGCTACTCTATTTGAGTCCGAAAATATAAATGAGGAGCTGTAAACGAGAAATGCATGTCCACTTTAAGCTCACTTTCTGATGTGATTGTTATTCTGATCATGGTTTCGTTAACAAAATCAGGCTATAATACAAGGACACGAGCTCTGTTCACTGTTACAAAACAGTTCTCTAATTTGTCTCAAGTCAAATTCCTGTGTCTTTCCTGGGCTTTGTAGTCCAACATTTTAAATTCCGATTCCAATTTGACAATAAAAGTATAATTAGAGGAGTTGTTGTGTTACATAAGCTTGCAAAAAAGCAATCAAGAAGAATTCCAGTGCATCTATCGCTCTTGGCAGTATAACTGATTATGATTCTGTTCAGTATTTAAATCAGCTCAGGACCATTTTACCGTGCATAGTAATTTGTCAGAACAATAAGCTCTGGTACATTTTGTTCTGACTGAAAATTAAAACTGATTTGGTGTTGATGTGATCAATAAATCGTCAGTAAACACATGCATGGTATTAACTTTTCCTCAGCCTCGCCTGTGTTGGGTTACAGTGAAACTGAAAAGTATTTGATGCTCACTCTGATCACAGAAGGATGTGGCCATGCTCAAAACCCCAATGTTGGCAAAAAAACAAAAACGTATGAGAACGTCATCTTAAAACCCTAAAGATATAAGCCACTATGGATTTGCCTGATAAGCATCAGACACAATCCTGAAGACGACCTGTCATTGCAGGACGCTCTTCTTTTCTCCATCGCTTCTGAAAACTCGTCTTTCTTCTGGGTTTCAGCCTGACGAGGGGGCCCAGCCCGCCAGGCGTCCTGTGGGAGTCACCGGATCCCTTGTCCGATCGCAGGGCGCTGTGGCCTCAAATGGGGGCGCATTACACTTAGTCAGCAGACCACAGGAAACAGGAAAACAGAATCTGCTGCTTCACGCCGTTCCTCCCAACCCTCAACCATCTCCTATGGCCTAATCAAGTTACACCTTCATCTATTACATCAAAACAGGTCTTTCAGTCTGGTTTGGGTGTCCTGGGTTTAGGTGCAGATAAGTAGATCTAACAAAACCAAAATGCCAAGCTTGGTTTTAGGACAATGAGTAGGTATTCTGGCTAAAACTCCATTATTGTAAGGTCATTTCCTGTTGTTGATATGGCCGTAAAGCTTGAGACCATGTCAACAACAAAAAGTTGTTGACATGACCTTAAAGGAGCAAGGCCAGGGACTAAAATCCCCGAGTTATTTAGTGAGTTACTTTTTTCCCCCAGAAAGGTCTGGCGCCATACTTCGACTCCAATTTGTTAAATTTTGAGCCAAGGTACATTTGCAAGAGGCTTATGCTTCCCTTGTACTTAAGCAATTTACACTCTCTCACTTGAAAAATGTTCCAGATAAGTGGCAAAGCTCCTACTTATGTAAAAACGTATCTGTACTCCTCCTCAGTCTGCAAATGAGATGGAAAAGCAAGCCGCAGTTTCAGTTTCAAACACCTCTGCCATCTCTGCATGGAAAAATGGTGAGCCATAGGTCTGAGCAGATACCATTCTGGAAACTGGGTCACATCACACACAATGTGTTACATAAACATCACAGGTGGACATTCATACAAAGAAAAATATAAAAGGAGGGCTGCATTCAGAGCCGCGTTGGCCATTTTCCGCCATGCACAATGCATCTTCAGCAAGAAACAATTAAAAAAAAAAAAAAAACACAACCATCCACCCATGCAAACAATCCAGGCACAAAAAAGAAAAGTCAACTAAAGAAGACACAAAATGGTGGTCTGGGATTGAGGTGGAGAATTCATACCAAGCTCTGAACCCAAAAAGGAGGGAAAACTAACAGTGTTTTCATTTAAACTGCTCTTACCTCCACCATAATGTGAAAGGCGTGCTTGTTGAAAAGGAACATAAGAAGCAAACAGAGAAATTATTGCTATCTTCTTTCAGTTAGTGGATGAAATAGAGGCAGATAAAAAAGCAGGACATGATAAGTCAGCCCTGAATAACCTTTTGTTCCCCTCTTGCGCTCCAGAGCAGGGCTTCTAGTTTCTTATCCCACATGGATCATGAAGAGGTTAATAAGCATGGTTCCAAAGGCAAGATGGTACATTTTAGGAACTTAAAATGATGCTGAAAATAGAGACTGAATGATGTGTGAAAAGAACAGAAGATCACAGTGAAGCCGAACAAACACAAGTTAACAGCAACAGCACGCTGATGTCAGACACACAAAACTTTCCTGACAGAAGTCATGTAAGAGGCAGAAAGGTTGAGCTCAGAGAGTCAGACCTTCAGCTGAGGACACCAACATGGAGCTACAGAGAAATCAGACATGAAAAATATGCCACTCTCAACTAACGGCTGCTTTTATCTTGAAATAGATGCTTATAGAAGTGGAACTAGGGCTGGGAGATTGGATCAATATATCCAACAAAGTCTAAGTTAAGTTTGGAAGCGTAAAGCTAGTCGGTTAGTTTTAGGCGCTAAAATTAGGCGGTAAAATTTCAGTGATAAATATTACTTACAAAGTGTGATCAAGTTTTTCTAAGCACTGGACTATGAGAACTGGTAAATCTGCTTAGTTAACATAAGGTTCCCTTTTTGTAACTTTACTTCTCTTGTCTTTCCCCCTACTTTCCAACTGGTTGCTAATACAGCCAATCCCTCAAGTCTATTATCATTAAATTTTTGCGCGGGCTTTTGGTGTTATGCTAATTTAGTGCTCTGCCTCCTGACAATGAACTTAGTGAATCAATGTGGTGAACAAGCCTTCTTCTTTTCCCTTAGCTGAGGGTAAGTTGATAGTTTAACACAGTGACTGATGGACAGTCCCATTAGTAATAGTAGAACAGACAAATGTAGCGCCCCTGGAGACGATTTTATAGTGTAGCTGATATTAAGTACTGCCGAGTAAAACTTAAAAGTTTAAAACTTTTGAAATAACAGTGTACAATGGGCAAGCTAGCTGCCTCAAGTATAAGATAGCACATATTGCCCCCAGCCATTTGTTTATTTAACTGAAGTCAATGGGTCACGTGTAAAAATAACGAGAGATTTTATTACAAAATCTGAGTTGATAATGATTTAAATACAAAATTCATTCTTTGTAAAGCCATCCAGAGAGGCAGTCGAGCCCTCTGGCAGGCTGGTGTTGACGCCCTAATGCTTCTAATTTAGATGCTGCGTAATGTCGGCCTTTTATCTTTTTGGTTTAAAACAAAAATAATCCAAAACAGGTGATTTGGATCAGCACATCCAACCTAACATGTTGGACTGATGGTGACCATTTGGAAATGTCAAAATTCTGCCTAAGCCGACACACAGCAGCCCCAGAATTATACTATATATTTGAAGCACACGTCTGCATATGAAACGATCCCAAACACTACACACGAACTCTATCATGTAAGAGTTCAGACACATTTTAAAGGCCAGCTGCTTTGTCCAACGAAAACAGAAAGAAAAAACGCAGTAAAGCAACAATCAGGTCAATATCAGCTTTGGATTTCTCTAACAGCACCTGCCAGCTTCATTTTTGCATCAAATGAGTTAATAAGACATGGTGTAGAGTCCACTGATCCTTTAGGACTTCTTTGGAAAGCTGCACCCAGACAAACAAGATGTAAGTAGCTCCATAATAAAGCAATTGATGAGATTTTGGTCAGAATCGATTGCTAAGATGGATAGAGATGAGAAAATAGGGCCCATGTTGAAGGAGAAAGAAAAAAAAAAGAAAAAGAGGCTAGACTTATGCTTAAATGCTGCAGCTCCAGGCCTCTTCGTGTGAAAGCTGTGGGTCTGTGTACTCAGACAGAATCAATTCCAGTTTGCCTCCACTTCGCACTGTGGTGTGAATAATGGAGGCTTGGTGGCAAGTATGCAGACCATGATGGACCGCAGCCATCATGACATAATGACAGAGTGCGACAGAAGGACTTTGGCGCATGAAATTTTCTGCGTTTCACACTGGGTTTTGTCATTTTAAGGTTTGGGAAGACGGCTAATTAAACAGAAAATCCAACACATTATTTTTTTTGTATGCTAAACCCACACTGATGCAAATCTGCCGCCTATATGAGAAAGAAAGGCCGGAGCTCTTTTTGTTTTACTAGGTATATTTCATTTCTGGTGCCTTGTCTTGTAAAATCAGGGAGCACAGCCGTGATAATGGATCCAATAACGATCATTAAGTGGGAACAATTACTTTTGCATTGTGAAGACTGCATGTTTCATTACCTAGCAGAGAAAACTAATGGTGTTTTTCTTTAAATGACTAGAAGGCTCCTTCGCTGAGGAGAGAACAAGTTCAAAGCTAAAGATGTGCAGAAATTCTTAACAAAATCACAAAACAAAGGAAATATTCAGGACAGAGTTTTCTGTAACTATGCAACAGCCTCCTGTTATTCAAATCCTGACTGAAAACATCTCTCTCGCTGACCCTTCAGTTTCTGGTTAGGTTCAACTTGGTGTCAGTGTATCATCAAATAATGGGTTTGTTGTTTTGGTTGCTGATGGTCTTATCTTCCTTTAAAAACATTCAATTCCTTTAATTTTAATGCCTTCAGATGCCGGTAACAATACTTCCCTTGTTGTGTTTGATCTGAGATCATCTGTCAATACTTGCATTAGACTGGATTAAATCTCATCTCATGGGCAAAATGTTCTCAGTCTCTATTAATCGTTCCTTTTCAGAAAAGGGCTCTTAAACAGATGTTTGATTTACCATTTGTTTGCGGATGACATCCGGTTGGTCTTTCTTTCTGACCTTGCTGATCTAAATAACTGCCTGACTGCCATCAGGTCTTAGTTAAGTACTTAACCTCTACAGTTAAATTTTAGCAAAACAGAGACTCGTAACAACTGTTCCAGATAGCACCATATCAAAGATCAAATAATGCCTTGGGTCTGCCAAGTTCCTCTGTTAAATCCAGCTCATGTAACCTTGAGGTTATCTTGGACAGCTTCCTGTCAGGATCTAATTTTTTTCCATCTACGTAAGGACCATTGCTAAGTCTATTCTTGTGAATTCCAAGCGGGAACTGGAGAAAACTGCTCATGTTTTTCATCTCTTCTCAATCAGTTACTGTAAAAGTCTTAACAAATTGTCTCTGAATCAACTTCCATCAGTCCAAAACGCTAATCATCTCTTTTCAATTTCCAAATTCTTTTCACTGGGTTTCTGTCAGCTTCGGATTTTATTTGAACTTTTAAAGCTTTGAATAGTGAGACAATCCCTTCAGAGATTTTACTGACCTATTCTTCCAACTGGTCCTTTCTGTGTTTGGATTACTGGTGTTGCCTTGTACTAAATGTTCAACACAGGGCCTTTGGGACAGGCTTTTAGCTTCTATTATAGAGTAGGTAACCCCGAGCAACAAGGAACCTTTACTTATGTAAGCATATTGAGACTGTTTTTAATTAACACAATCAGCTTACTTTTACAACATTTTTGATTTTAAGATGTCTGATCAGCTGGAAATACTGATGAAGAAGTATTTCCAGCGTAAGTGGCTTTACTGTTAAAATCTGAACAGTTCCTGTTATCTTGAGTCGAGCTGACTGAAACCTCTCCACCACTTTTAAGTGAATATGACATTTTTGAGAAAAGACATAAGGATAGCACTACTGCAAAAAACTAAAAGCATGCAGAAAAAAATATTTCATCTCAATATAGCCATAATTGTACGCAAATGTTATTAATTCCACAGCCCTACTGACAAAGAATCCATTTAACAGTTGACATGTGTATGAAATCTAGGGTTTACAAAGGCTAGAGAAAATATTAGCCAAATGCATGTTGGTAAATCTGGCACAAATCATAAGTGGAATTAATTTCCATTTCATTTATATTTATAAGATTAACTTCAAGGTGCTGTCCCCAAGTGGAAAGGAGAAACTCCCTTTGAACAAGAAGAAACCTGGAGGTTTTTGTCTGTGTGGTGACACCTCTATCAGGAGATTACTGCAGCGAGTCCTCATGCCCTCGGCAGTGGTGACATCACTGCTTGTGGTCGAAGTGACCGATGTAGTGTGCACAAATGGGCCGTTAACATTTCTGTTGGTGGTGTGAATGCAAACAGAAAAAAAGCCCTTAAAGATATGTAGTTCACGAGTGGGCGTTTGTTCCAAAAACACTTCCTGACTCTGCAATTCTTTTTATTGTTGTCCTCATTTCACAAATCAGTGCTTCAGTTAATGATCTGTTAGCATTTTCAGGTCCAGATTCAGGGGTTTTAAACACTCAAGAGGATATTAATAAGACATATACGTCTTTGTCTCTCTGGCTGTCTGTTCAGACTGCAGCTGCCTGTTTATGACATAATCGCATTGCTACTCATTTTAATTAGAGATTCAGATTAAATGTGCGCAGTGTGATGCAGAGCTCTGACATTTTACAAGATGAAGCAGTGTAGCTGGCACACGGATGCTGTTAGGGAGCGAGGAAAATGCTCCGAACAGGTATGATTAATAACTAGAACGACTTCCCAAACACACAGGACACTCTGAAATCCAACTGGCAACAGGTGTGGCCAATTTGTTGCTGTCACATTAATAATAAATGACCAAGAAGAGCGCATTATGCTCGGGTGTCGATGCGAGCATGACCAAGAATAAAACATCTGGGGAAAATGTAAAAATCAGCAGAGTCGCTGAGAGCTGATATGAAATGAGGTGGCAGAAGTTTTCACTTGATGGATGTCTCTTTCAAAAAAATCCAAACAAATTATTCTAATTTAATCTGACAAAGTGTTTTAACTGCGAATTGGAGGAAGATGTTGACAATTTTTCATTCGCCCGTGGACCACTTTTGCATAGATAATACAATACTGGAAATTTTCTGGCATACTTTTTAAGTTTGCTTTCCAGAGTTAGATGAAGAGTTCTCTGCCA